ATGGACGTGAAATGAAGTAACACAGCTGTAGCAGTCACACAGGTTGTCTATAACAACTGTTACTTCTAACTTACTTGTGTTACAGTCATTCACACACAAAATTGAGACTTTTGAAAATAAGATGCAACGTAACGATTTTACTGCATTTCAGTACTTCCTTATCATGTTTAAAATGTGGTTCAATACGACACCAACCTTTATCATGTAAGTTGCTGACAGAACATATGCTTTTTTTTTGTTGTTGTTGTTGGGGGGTTTTTTGTGTTTTTTTTTCTTTTGTTGTTGTTTTTTATACATTAATGATTTAAGTACTACAACAGTGTAGTTTGTTAAATTTCAGGTATTTCTAATAGTAAAATTAATGATATTTGATATGAATGCAAATGAAGCTAAAGCTTCAAATTTAGACTAGTCTTACTTTAAATCTTTCTGTACTTTATTCAAATCCTCAAACAATTTAAAGTATAAACAAAGAATATAGGCTTGAGACAAAAGCGATCTACGTGTCATAAACAGAATTGAATACCTTGCGTTTGATAACATTTGAGTATTTTTCTGTTGTTTGTTTATCGTATTATTAGAATATTTTTTTCAAAAGCAACGATGCCAAATAAAACAAAGCCTTAATTTAAGGTTATTAAAGCATAATTGTGCTTGATTACAGCTTCAATAAAGAATTTGATAACAAAAAGGATAGATATCCGTATTAGTATTTGTTAGGGGTTTTTACATGAAAGAACTGATTCTAATTTCCTTGTTTGTTATTCCATTTGATGTAGGTTTTGACCAATAGCTTATGTGCCAAAAATTGGATCATTCGCTCGTTTCATTTTTCCAGAATAACGATTATAATTGAAAAAGAATGATCGAAAAACGAAGAAGCATTGCAACGCTTTTGACTCACATCTGGCTAAGGATAACGGAAAAAATGTGATTTTCAATTTATTTCTGTGTATATTTCTTAATTATCTATTGCATATGTTTCTGAAGTTCCCCGTATGATTTATGCAAAAGAAAATCAAATATTATACCATTAGGCTTTTGGACCTCAGTAGAGTTCCTTTTACAAACTCAGACTCAAACAAACAGACCCCCAACTTTTCATCGAGTCAAAAATAAATAAATAAATAAATAGAAATACTACTCGCTGATCTTTCAAATACTTGTATGCCTATATGTTTAATTGAGTAACACACTCAAATTAAACACTTAACGTCAGTTATTTGAATACATATAGCAGTTGTTTTAAGTCCATTACAACTATATAATTGGATTTCAAAACTGACGTACATAGATATTCAATTAGTGTGTTATATAATAAAGTCATTATACATTGTTGAGTTAAATACTGAATTCTATTGATAATAATTTATAATAATAATTATTAATACGTCCGATAAATTGGTAACAAAAAGAGTATTTTCTGTCCTCCTGAATGATCTTGTAGAACATATCTCAAATACATATAATGGTTTAGATTTTACTTTCGCAGTTTATTAAAAATGTACTAAGTGATGATATAGTAGAGGTTTACTTAAAACTGTTTTTACTGCTTTATGCTGATGATACTGTAATTTTTGCAGAATCTGCATCCGAGTTTCAATTAGCACTAGATGCTATGTCTATTTATTGCGAGTTTTGGAAACTTCAAGTAAATACAGCCAAAACTAAAGTGGTGATTTTTTCAAAAGGGAAATGTAGAAATACACCTTCTTTTTACTTTAACAATGCCATACTTGCTATTGTTGAGGATTTAAGCTAATAAGGTGTTAAGTTAAATTTTAATGATAAGTTCAATAAAACTACTAAATACCAGTCCTGTGTGACCAAGCTAGAAAAGCTATGTTTGCTGTACTTAAAGAATCCAGAACTCTGTGTCATGATATATATTTACAATTACAACTTTTTGACTCCATGGTCACTCCTATCTTGTTATATGGTGTAGAAGTGTGGGGTGTAGGTAACATTGATATTGTAAAGCAATTTCAGTTTAGATATCTTAAGCTCATAATGAATGTCAAAAAGTCCACTCCTAGTGTTATGGTATTTGGGGAGATTGGTACTCTTCCAATTGATTGTGTCATAAAATGTAGAGTCCTAAATTTTTGGTGCAAAATCATTAATTCAAAACCTGATAGAGTATGAATATTATGTACAAACTAATGTTTGAATTGGACCGTCAAAACGTATATCACTCCCCATGGATAGCTTATGTTAAAAAATCATTGCAACAGCTTGGTTTTGCTGAATACTGGATGAACCAATCTGTGTAATCACCTTTTTATTTTAAAAATATTGTCAAATCTAGAATCAAAGACCAATATGTTCAAATGTGGCATGAACAGGTGTTTAACTCTAGCAAATGTATCACTTACAGAATTTTTAAATCTTCATTTGAGTTAGAACCCTAATTTAAACTTTTACCTAGAAATATAGCCTTATCGCTGTGTAGGTTTAGATGTAGTAAACATAAACTCCCTATTGAAAAGGGTCGTTATATGAATTTGGATCATGATTTAAGATATTGACTTCTCTGTCCAAATAATTCTTTATTAGGTGATGAGTTTCATTATATTTTTAGTGTCCTTATTTTAACATTTATCGTAGAAAGTACTTGCCCATTAATTTACGAAGAGGTAACATGTTTAATTTACAGCTATTATTTCCAAATACTAATAGAAATGTATAAATCAAACTGTCTGTTTTTACACAAAGAATAATGTCTATTGTGAAATAATGTTTATCACCTTCTAGTCAGTATCTATTGCCAAGTATTGTCTTAATTTTCATTATTTACTTTATCTATTTTTATGTATTTTATTTAGTTTTTTATTATTTTTTTCATCTTAAAGGTCTCATGACATTTGTAATCGCACTGTGACACTTCTTATTTAATGTTTGTGGAACTAATTGTACCGGCGTGGTGTGGTTGCAATGTGGAGCTTCATGGGCCCCATGTTGTGGTTACACAATGTCGCTGCATCACTTCATTTGCGTTTTGGTCAGGAACTTTCTTTGTGCGGTTTCATTATGTCTCATTCTAGTCACTCATTTGTAAAGACATTCATAAGTATCTCTAGTCTAACTTTTGTATTTATCATGCAAAATATTTTGTCTCAAGCTTTATTTACACATCTGTACTATTTTTTTGTTAATGCTCATTTGTTTGTGAAATTTTACTGTTTATAAAACTGATACCCATATGGGCCTAGTTGAAGGAAAAAACTTGAAAACTTGAAACTTGTTAATTTCAATTTGTAAACAAGTGGAGCAGCACTTAAACAGCATAATTGTTTGACCAATTCTTATGCTAAACTTATTTTACATAGATAATTTGAAAAAAGACATAAAAACGGGGTGAATATTCAATTTTTATTTCTCATAAACTTCAAAACGTTACTAACTCATGTCTCTGGAAATGGTTTAACATTGACCTAATACTGTTAAGCATCAAAATATTTAATAATGAGATTCAATAATGGCTAATTTCTGATATTTTAATGTTTGAATTTTTATGTGCTGTCAGACAAGTTACCTTAACACCTTTATGTGACATGATATATGCACCTCCATTAGACACACTGCTTCATTCAAACGGGATCATTTGAAAACGACAAACAATGTACAATTCATTTGTTTTAGCGATGGTATTTTTTTCAGTTTTCTGTACTTACGATATTAATATCAAAGACTTTTTTAAGCACTAATTAATTGGATTGCCTGGGTTCCTATATTTACTCGATTAGTCGATTTACTCGTCAAGTATTCTAACAACGATCAAGTGTGTATATGCGACCGACATTTGTGACAGTAAATTGAGGACATATAATCGAGTTTTTTTTTCTTAAAGTTTTTAAGTTTCTTAAATATTGCAAACGATATAATCTGTCACTAACCTGTTTATCTGTACTGCATGTATATACTGTAATACATTTATTTCACGAGCCGACGCATGTATGTAATATATAGAGCAGAGACAGGGTAAGAAGTATTTGTTGGGATAAAATTGCGTTGGACCTTGAATTCGTGGATTGACCTACCCTCGAAAACCACGAAAATTTGTGCCCCACGAATAATAATGATTTACAGTATTGCTCACTGCATATAGAATATATACTATTATATAGACTGTGAAAAAACTTATAGGTATATTCCTGACACAGATGCTTGAAATTTTTGTATATATTCTATGTGGGGTATATATTTTAATCTTAATATACATGTATATTAAGATTATGTAAAATATTTTATTTTGTAACTAGCGGCTGTGATTCCGGGAGATTGCCTTTTCTTCAATTATGTTATATTATCTATTGGTTGTCAAAATCTGCAGAAACGGACCGACAGATAAGGGTAAAACTATATGCTCCCCCTACTACGCCAAGTGAGGGGTAAAATTATTAATTATGTAAACATGTACACATGCATTATGAAATTTAGAAGCGACCCTGAAACATCTTGTTTTTTAACAAGGCAGTGTATCTTTTCAAAATATAGTTCTTGTTTCTTATCCAATGTCAGATGAAAGTCTATTTTTAGATTGATGTTTATTACAGTTCAGCCAGTGCATAATCATATTTACTGTACCTACTGAGTACTGTAGCATTTACAGCAGCTGGTTGCGTAAAAAACTTATTTACTGTATATTTTCATGAATTTGTAAGATTCAAATAGAATTGATAAAACAAACCAAGAGAGATGCTACAAGAAAAAGGTATTCTAAAAATATTTTGTATGAGTTTTTAAATGAAATATGTGTTCGTTTGCTAATGTAAATTTAAAAAGTTTAAAGTTTGCAGATGAACACATGCAGATTTCATCAATTTGTATTTTCTACCGAGTGTTTTATCTATTTTACTGTTGTAAGTACAAGTATATGAGGAAGAACCTCCAAGAAGAATTTGTATTAATTTCTTAATTATTTTGCTTCCGTTTGCAGTTGTACGTGGACATTATGACTTTCTAACTGACTAATTTGTGTTGTTTTTTTTCTATTTCAGAACTGAAGAATGAACTAATTACATGGTACAAAACCTATCACAGTACAGTTCCTCTTTCACCACTCACAGATGCTGTCCATCTAGCAGGGTTCTACCTTATGCCAGAAATTGACATACACACTTATCAGGCTGGTGGAGGAAAAAAAACAGCTAGAGTCAATTCGTTACGTGATCTGTTTACATCGGGTAGGAGTGCTCAAAAGGAAATAAATCTATCAGCGGTCGCTGGATTTGGGAAAACAGCATTTTCAAAATATCTCGCATTGACGTGGTGCCAAGTTCATCAAAAGGACGAAAATTATAAGCATTTTAAAAAAGAAGAGTTGAAGGCGTTATCTGGCTTTGAGTTTTTATTTCTAGTGCTATTGAGAGATTCAGCTAAAGTATGTGATGTTGACGACATGATTGAAAAACAGCTGATACATAATCTCCCTTGCTCATCTTCAATGCCAAAAGGTCTTTTAAAGGACATTCTTTGGAATGAAAAATGTCTTGTTATATTAGATGGACTAGATGAATGGACTCATCCTGACAACGATTGTTCAAGGTTTCCTAAAAGTATTCCACATCGATATGCACGTGACAAGTGTGTAATCTTAACAACGACTCGGCCATGGAAGCTTGGAATGTCAAACTTGGAACAAAAAGGCGAAACAGTAGAGCTAGTTAAACTAAATAAAGACAATGCCAGGCAGTTTAAGAAAAACGCTATAAAAACGTTGAAAAAGAACTTAGAAGATCGTGAACTGGAAAATGAAGTGTGCGGATTTGAAAAGGCGATCAGTGGCCATGACCTTGAGGATATGGATTCAACGCCTCTCCTAATACTCTATCTAATATATTTATGGGTTGAAAAAATTCCAATAGGAAATTCAGCAGTCGAATTATATACAGGCATTATTCAGCTCCTTCTATCTCGAACAGAAATCTTACATGGAAATTTCCATTCATCGTGTAAAACACCTCCGAGTATTGTCCCTGAATGTTTCAGAAATCATAAACATTTCTGTAGTTACTACATGTTTCTGTTGACCATAGGGAAACTAGCTTTTTATACATTGTTCAGTAAGAAAAAGGAGCACACATTAGTTTTTGATGAAAATGTTGCTGAAACATATCTTAACCAAGAAGATTTGAAATCAAGCTATCAATCAGGAATATTATCAGAAAGTAAAGTAAAAAAATTGATACACGAAAGTTCTAAAATCTCATTTTCACATAAAACAGTGCAAGAGTACTTTTCAGCAATGTTCATAAGTTTTCATAATACAAGTGAAGTCAAGAGAATACTATTTGAAGAGTGCCACTGTTTACAAAATATTCTAGACTTGTCAAAAGTTTTTGTTTTCATCAGTAACATGAACCCTAAATTAATGTCTGCAATATCAGGTGATTTAATGCCTGTGATAAACAACGATAAAATAACAATCAAATACAGAACTTTGACAATATATGATTACATGTACATTAAGCCATTAGAAGAAATACAAGACATGTACATTTCTTGTGCCAAGGAAAGAAAGGAAAGCAAAGACCTGAAATTGTGTTTACAAGATTTCATCTGTAATGAAAACTGTAAACAAGAAAACTACTTCAAACAATTACAACAGCTGTGTCAACAAAATAAAGAAAACATAAAATCAATAATGATAATAAATAAAGATATTTGCAGTCTACAAAAAATTAGCAAATTATTTACACTCTCTGACCTCCCACATGTAGAGAAATTATACTATTGTGGTAAAATTGTAGGAATGGAAATAATGAGCTTGTTATTGAACCCTTTAAAATGTTTAACTGTGATATCATGTAAATGGGAAAAGCATCAGATTGTAGTAATACGTTGCGGGCTATCTGCAGAGATAAATGACCGACTGGTAAAATTACAACACCTGGAGTGTTTAAGTATAGAACATTTCACCATGACCCACAAGGTAATGGAGACATTGTTAAACTTCCTCACTTGTAAAAAATCAATGAAAGAAATAAGTTTGTACAGGTTATACTGTAGTGAGCATGAAACTTCATGTAGGGGATTCAACCTTGACCTGTCTCAACATTCACAACTAAGATGTTTAGGATTTGGCCTTATACCTGTGTCACAATTAAAAATGGATGTCTCATTGTTAGAGAAATGTGAGGTAGGTAAATTATATAAACCTGGTGTTGTGTCATCTTATCTTAGTCAACTACCAGCAGCCAGGAAACTACAAACATTTTGGTGTAGTAATCTAGAATCATTCAGTGATATAAAAACAATGGTACAAACATTACCATTGTTACATCATATAAAAGAAGTTAGGTTGGACAGCATGAATCTAGATAAAAGATCATTAACACTCTCAACTCAAATGATCAATATTGAACATGTTTACTTGTTTTATATAACAATGTCTTGTTCAGTGTTAGATGATCTCATTACTGTGATAAACAAACTACCACATACAGTGACAGTATGTATGAAAGGTTGTGATATCATACCAGAAACAGAATTTGAAAAGTTTAAAACAGTTATAAAACAATCAGTCAATTTTGTGGTCATTGGTGATGGCACCTTCAGGTCAGGAGTGTACGTGTTTGAGTTCAAATCAACAAAAAAACAAACTTGAAGTAAAATGTACTGAGTAACATTAATTGAACTTGGAGAACTATTTATAAATAGATTATGAGACAAGTGATAGGTGAAATAGACATCAGTTTCTATTTTGAGTCTGACATTTAATCAATACTCCGCTGTACATAACTCTAACAATTTCAAAATGTGAATATAAAAGGAAACAGGAATTTCTTCTTTGAGGACAACAAATGTGGATAAATGTTAGACGTAGTTAAAACAAATAAGTGTTTGTTTTTTTCTAATCAGTAATTTGTAGCTAACACATGTACCTGTTGTGTCTGGGCAAGGTAACAAAATAAGCCTTACTATAGGGGATGTCAGGTCAACTCAACCTTTGTCAACTCATTCCATGATCAACTGTTACCTTTTGAGCACTATAAAGTAACCCGTCCGTATATTTTAATTTAAAAAGAAAATAATTTATATCGAAATTTAAATTAAAATCAGTTTTGTCTTATTAAAATGACATACGTAAGACTTATGACTTTGAGGGGTTTTTCCTCAAACACAGTAATAATGGATATTGGTCAAAGATTGCACTGATAATCAATTATGTTCATCTATTTACAAGATATGTCTCTCGAAAAAAAATCCTAAGTTCATTTTAATTATTATCTTCATTTAATGAATTATTTAGTAATTAACAGAAGACACTATGAAAAATATAACTCACAGCCTCTTTAATAGTCATATAAAATAATACATTTTATACCATATGATAAGGTACCACTCAAACTTCATGTTTTATCAGACTTTAGTTTTCAGTATTATCAGACGACAGTATTAAAAAATTAACGATTGATATAACTTTATAATACTGATTCGGTTTTAATATTTCATATTCTGGGCATAATAATTTCTTACAGTTTTCTTAATATATGTGAGTGACCTGATAAAATAATAATGAAAACTCTTATACATGCTTTTGACTTGGTTCTTGTATGATTGTTATTTAAAAAGTGTGTTGTTTTGTATTTTCAGCATTATGTGTATTACATCTACCAACAAATGAGCAGATTTACAAAAGTCTTATTAAGCTAAGAACTGACATTCATGTGTGACTTGCTGTATTTAAGGTATAACCAAAATCATAGACTGCAAAATGGGTCTGAAAAAATCCATAACATATCACACAGAATTGATGGCAATATGGATTAGTTTTGCATGTGTACAAAAACTGAAGGCAAATAGTGTAATAAAGTCAATTCATTGTTTGAGGATACAAAATATATAATGTTTGATATTAACTTAAATCTTCCAAACCCGAGACTCGAAACAATCATAAGATGATTAGTTAATACTAGGTAAACTTAAAATATTAACTAAATGAGTTCATTGCACTAAGATATTGTTTGATCATACAAATGCAGTCGTTGTTTTGTTTGAAACATGAATAATACAACTCAGGCAATTCTAGGCATTAAAATAGACTACTCGTGCAATATTGATTTATATCAACCCTCAGGAAAATATAATTACATGTCCATATTTGTGAATGAATACACATTATTTGAATACAAATTTATTATATATTTGTATTAAAATTATATTCTAGCTGTATAATATGTGCATTGTTTATATTCCTGTATATTATAATATGTAAATATACACTTATGTATAATAATCAATATTTGTACATAGATAGTTTTAAATTAGCTAGATAAATGTGACATTATGCCCATCGAAGTGTATATACACTGAGCAAAAGTTCTAACCGATCACCCCGAGTTTTGGCTTATATATGAAAAAGAATAATACCAATAGATCCGACTTTTATTTTATTTCGAAGAGAATGAACACATTGAGAACAATAAAATTGTAACATTTTCTATTTAAAAAAATACTTTATCGATATTTAAAAAAAAATGTTTTTATGAACAGCCACTCACCTGGCTGATAGAGGCTCCAGCATTCAACATTCCAACTGCTACGGCACGATCCTGCATCGAGATTCTTTCCATGTTTTATGTTTTTTTCACTAAAGTCTTATAAAATTAATAAGGATTTATGCAATGTAAAATTTAGTACTCACCATGCTCTGCATGAACATTTCGTGCCGAAATGTGTAAACCGTACCCTGTCTCCCGCGTGAGTGCATGGAACCGGATTAAAATATTTTTCTTTCCACAAATCAGTAGAAAATGACACAAAAATCAACTCTGCAAAATTTTATAAGGATCTATTGACCCGTTATAAAATAATCAAAATTTAAAAAGTGATCGGTTAGAACTTTTGTTAAGTGTAGTGAAATAAGTAAACAGGTGAAAGTCAAAATAGGTTTTCATTTTGCAATTTTATAATTTACTTGGCATAATAAAACGTCCTTGACTTAAGGAAATGTATATATATATATATCCATCGAAATTTACCTGAAAATTTACCTGAAACGTTCAATTAAAAAAAGGGGCAGTGTTTTTATGGTTTAGACAGACTTATATTTTATCCTTAACATTTTTCAATATCAAGTTAAAGTGTTAGTCAATTACCATAATAACAGTGAATTTTCAAAATATATGGTCCATTTTTCTCACCATACAATGAAAAAATGGCAGAATTTCACTTTAAAAAGTATAATGAATATGGATGGCCAGATGGAAAATACCACTGTGCTATGCAATAAATGATATTTTTTACATTATCTTTGTGTTGGAAAATCATTGTCAGTTCTTTTCAATTGTAAAAGTAAAATATTGCAGTGTAATGATTATATATATAAATATATATGTTGCTTTGTTGGTGTTGTTTTTTTTTTGACACAGCTTTGTTTAACGATTAAGTAGACAAAGTAAAAATATCAGATTTATTTTCATTCATGTGTTGAAGTTTATAGATTTATGACGTGTACTTAATGATAGCTTATCAAATTGTGTTTCTACTAAAATATTGTTTTCTTATATGTTTTGTATGAGTTGCTGTAAATAGATTTTTCATTTTAATGTTGCAGGACCCAAGGCCTGTAGTCTTAACTGTCCACTAGGCCTATCAAAAAGTTATGCTTATGTGATTGCATTTTGCCTTTGTCTTCAAATAAATTGCTACAATATATGAAAACATGTATATAGACTAGCGCTAAATCATTTCACTATGAAGTCACATTTTTATCTCACCAGAGTAGAATTATTTATTTTATTTGCTGTTGCTCTTTAAACAACATCATCTTCTGGACTACAAGTACATCTAAAAAAATCTCAGGAGGCACTTTAAGGTGGCCTGAAAGTAATTAGCATGGATTTAGTCTTCTGCATAAATCTAAACAAAAACTAAAAAAAAATGGAAATGTAAAATGAATTTTTAAAAAATAATTGCTTACAAACATAATGTTATTAATATGTGTAACGTTTATTATTGTATAAAATCTGAAGTTTAGTACATGATTTATTACAAGTTTTGTATTTGTGGGCATAGTTAAATGTAAGACTTGTATTTGTGTACATAATTTAGTGTTAGCTTTTTATTTGTGTACATAATTTCTTCAAGATTTCTATTCGTGTACATAATTAACTACATTGTATAATATTTGTTTTGTGTACATGATTTACAAGAATATTTTGTATTTGTGTGATAAGTTTTATGTAGGGTTTGTATTTGTGTACATAACGTTCTATAAGATTTGTATTTATGTACATAATTTATTACATTGTATAATTTTTTTTGTGTACATGATTTACTAGAATATTTGTATTTTTATGCTAGATTTTATGTATTATTTGTATTCATTTGTGTACATAACTTACCAAAAGATTTGTATTTGTGTACATAATTTACTACATTGTATAATATTTGTATTTGTATGCTAGATTTTATGTAGGATTTGTATTTGCGTACATAATTTACTACATTGTATAATTATAGTTGTTTTGTGTACATGATTTACTAGAAGATTTGTATTTGTGTGCTATATTTTATATAGGATTCGTATTTGTGTACATAACTTACTATTAGATAAGTTCTTTTCTAAAATAATAACTTTAAACCTTTGTATTTGTGTACATGGTTTATATCTGTTTTATATTTGTGTACATGATGTATTTTAGATTTGTTTTTGTCAGTATTATTAACTATACAGTTTTTACCATGAAAGTGTGTGTGAATTATTAAGAAACTTGCTGCTATAATGACCATATGAAATGTATAGTTACTTATATGAAGGTTTTTTCCTGAAACGTTTAATTATTATATGCATTGAAATTATCAATAGAACGTAAACAGTTAAAGAAAAGACAGAAAACCATTCCCAGATGACATACATGCCGTATGATCGTCCGATTTTTAACTTTCATCCTCAACAATATTTTCCATAACCCAATTGACACCTTTAACGAAACTATCAAGAATGATCATTTTGTGTGCCTCTTTATTCATTATATATAAGCTAGTAAATTTTACACATTATCATGACTTTGACCCAAAAGCCTTGGCAGATTATTATTGAACTAATAAAATAAGAACAAACATTAAGTGGACAATATAATTAAGTTGTTTTGTCTGCATAACAATGTTTTGTTTATTAACGTCATCTCCTCCTCTACTGATGAATAAACTTTTAATTAAACTCATTTGGTTTTAATTCTTGACAAGAGGGCTGCATTATCTTAGTAATAATAAGAACAACCTCCAAACAACATAAGCTTTCTTAACCGCTATGAATTTTTAAAAAAGCTTAATAGGAAGTAAAATTGGAGATTTTTCTAAAACAAATAGCTAGTCATATATTGATTTGCTAAATGAAAGATTCGACAAGCCATGCAAGCTTAAACTCATTTAAACGACATCTTGTAATTAACCATTTAACAGACTTTGATATAATTAAATGAGTATACCTTTCTTTTGGTCATTTGAAATATATATAATATAAATTATTTGATAATGACCAAGTTGTCTACCTGGACCAAAACATTGAAATAAAACATGGTTTCCAAAATCACTAAGACGTTTTAGATGAGACTGAAAACAAGAATGAATACTTGAGTAGTATTGTACCAAAAGGTTTGT